TCTATTTGAGGAAAGAGCTGGGAGTTGAGCTTAACATGAAGAAACAAAGCATGTGAACAATTTAATTAAAAAAGAGAACTTTGAACAGGCTACTAAAAGTGACTTGTGCTAGGCGACTGCACGGTATTTCTGAAGTGACAGCTTCTACAGAACTCGACTGGAGGCAGGTAAATGAGTCTGAATCCAAAAATTAACTCATTTACTAAACAAATTAAACTCGACATATCATCTAGAATCTCTTTCACCAGTGTAACTTCCAACTACAAAATAAAATTTTGTGAGTTGACAAAAATATCTTTATTATTTATTTATTGTAGTTTAAAAAAATAAATAAAACAAAAATTTAAAAATATCATTTACCTCAATAAAACGTAAAAAACAGTAGTAGTAATAATAATATGAATAATTAATTATTTTAAAAAGTATTATAACTATTTATATGTTAAAATATTATAACTTTTATATAATTTTAAATTTTTTTTATATTTTTTTTTTAATTTTTTATTTAAATTTTTTATATAAATGTTGTCAAATATATCTGAGCCATGATCTTTTCGTGAGTGCTCTGACCTGCTTAATTTATTTACGCAAGTGCCTAAGTATTAGCTTTTAATTGAAAATTTAAATAAGAAAGGAATAAAATACAAGCAGTATCTTAAAACCAATCTGATTTGCTTACAGAGTATTAGAGAGTCAACTTGTTTTAAGCATGAAATGTATATATGGGATAGTACAGTTTTTTGTCAAAGAAAATTTTAGCAAGATTTGAACCAAGGGCCCTGGAGGATAAGGCAGGCATCATCATCATAACCATTAACCATAATCTATAGCTTCAGTCGAGTTTAAAAGATGCCTACTCAGCAACTATCCTTTCCACTGAACTTTGGGAATTATTATATTCTACTTGTACCAACTCAGGGTAATGTTTATTTACTTTACTTGCAAGGTGTTCAAATTGAGGAGGAGAAGTGAGATAACGCCACAGTAAGGTGTGAATTATACGTCTGTCCATCTGTCACTGATACTCTTGAACAGTCAAATTCCTAATGAGATATATCCTCATTTATATATTTTTTTAAATTTAAAAATAATCAATTATATAAAAATTAGGTTAATTTATTCTTCTAACAAATATTCTAAAAACTGATTTTTAATAGTCCAAATTTCTTATAAGCTATGTAGTACTTTACTGATTACATGAGCAAATATTTGTTCTCAATTATTGTAATTATCCATTTAAGGAATTTTGTAGTATAAAAGTTTATATACCCATAGCAAAAACTGTCTCAGAAGAATAAACGATTCTAAAGTAAGGCACTTTATATCAAACATACGAACAGTTTTTAACATTTTTAATGCTTCATGCACTTGGCATAGGCCTATATTCTTTTCTTCCATATTCATAAATCTTGTAGCTGTTGACATCAACAAAGCAATTGCAAATATTTCTAAGGAATTTGCATATTAGAAAAGGTTACAATTCACTCAATTTTAATAGATAAATCATGTTGAAAAATTCACTAGTAGTCCACAAAATGGAACATGATAATAATGAGATTTCAAAAGATACTACAATTTGTAAAATAAAGACTTTAATCATTTTTACTTAAAAAGAAAGGATCTATGAACTTAAAGTTCCTCCTCTCTGAATTTTATATTAGATGATTTTACCCTAGTAATTTATTCGGAATTAAACTAATGTTTACTGAATACTCAGAAACAAAATATTACGAAGGCATTTAATTAAGTAAAGGACACACGATCACATAAAAACAAATTGATGTGTATGACTGCATCAAGAGTTGACCTGAAAAAGGCCATTATCTGTTGCCGTCTTTGTCTTCCGCCAGATACAGTGACAAATCCTATGCAACTACGCACCTTAAATGTTGATCCTTTCATCTTCCATTACAGGTTTAGCATCTATTAAATATACAGTGCAAGTATAGGCTTACATAGCCGATTAGGGATACTTGATTGAGAGGTTGTCTATCTCCAGTATGTGTGGTGATGTATATCTACTGCATGTATCCTGCATGTTTCAAGGTTATAGGCCTACTTATCCAGATTTGAATTTTCTTCGTCAAAAAACATATCCCCATATATAGTCATGAAGTGCCCATATGTTTTTTTCCAGCTAATGCAAGGCGGTCGGCAGTACAGGTCTCCGAAAATGACTACCAATAGTTTTAAGGATAGTTTTATTCCTTGTGCCATTAAGACACTATATAAAATTGTAAAATCTAAATAATTATCATTATTATTATTATAGGTGTGCAGTATATACTTGTATTCTGGCATTACACAGAGCCAACCCAAAATTATATGCATGATTTGTACATTGATAATAAAGTTATTTGTATATTGTTTTGTATATAGTATATAGTCATAATTATCATGTCATTATGACCATATCTATGCCAGGTCCATCTAGGCTGGCCAAGCGAGTGGGACAAGCCGTCCAAGCTGTCAGGGTAAAAGTGGCTGTCCTAAATAATTATTGGCCGTCCAAAAGACGGCCGGACGACTTGCTAGCTAAGCCCCAGAGCTTCAATGTGATAAACAATGTAGGAAAGGTATCTAACCATCGGTGGGGCATCAGGATTTTCCCCATGGGAGGGGATCAAAGCTCATCATTACAAGTTTGTCAAATATGAACAAATTGCGAGATAGCTCTTTGTGGTCTTGTGGATCTCTATTTTGATTCTGTGCTTGTTTATGTCTTCACATGAGAATTTATGCCTGTGTGTGTCACAGAGTTTGTCTGGATGTTTCTGACAGAGTATATAAAAGTATATGTGTAAATATTAATCTCTATATAAAAACACATCAAAAATCATATGAATACCAGAGAAAAGGCAACTTTTCTTGTCAATTATATCTAATTTGAAACTTGTCATTTTTTGGCACAAAACTCTATAAAACTTGCCATTTTTTTTGGCACAAAGCTCTTTAAAATCATCTAAATGGGGTCATAACCTTGAAAAATTTCATACTAACAGAAATACCAATCAAAATGGATATAGTATCGACCTACTGTTCTTGTCAACATTTTTGTCAGTTACAAAATTGTAACCCAAATTGTATTATGAAATGTGACGAGTGGTAACTATGACTCAGGTAACAAACTCGCAATGTACTGTAACAGCACTTGTACTATTTGGTAGAGGTCACACCATTGGCTTGGAAATTGCTTGATTTGGAGTTTGCCTACGGAGCCAGCGGCACCTGTAAAACCAATCAAGAACTAGCAGACCCAGCTGTATGGCAACACCTCTGGGAAGAGTCCAAGCAGACCTCCAACTCCTGGGACAACCATGTTGTTTTAATGGCACACTTCGATCCCGGATCAAAGTCCCGGATCAAGTGGAAAGTAACTTACTTAATCTTTTAAGTATGAATATTTACAATGATTTATGATTTCAAGTGGTTCAACATCAATTTATCTGTATATGATAATACTAATTTTATTCTATCGTAACACTACAATTATATGCAGTTACTTCATCATTACAGTATATTAACACTGCAGTCTACCTGTGATAATATGCAAATTATCTTAATAGTTTAACATGAATATTCATATCATAATGGCAAACCTGTTGGTTGTTATCCTTGTCAATATTCTTATTAAATTGCATTCCAACATTGTAATTTACTTGATATGCAAATTAGCTTGACAGTTAAATATGAATATTCATTAAATATCTTAATGGTTAATATACAGGCCAGGCATGACAAAATCTTAATCAATCCTTCTTTAACAATCACAAATTTAGGGTATTCTAACTTCATATCAACAAAATATTTAAAGACCTTCAACAAACCACTGCACTTCCGCAGAGGCAGCTGGCCGTTCTACTTTTGCTGAATGCCATCAGCCCACAGCAAAAATAAGCTAAATGTTCCCCAATGATCTTTCACACAATCAGGCCAAGCCAACTTTACAACTCATTACACTAGAAGAATACCTTTAGAACGCATATTACTTTGTTTTGTCTTGTTTCCAATAGACAAAATGCCAGTTGCGTGGAGTTGAACCTGTTAATGCCTTGGGCAGTATGACATCAAACAACCCAAACACTACATACTCGAAACTGATATTTTCTTATCTGATTTAAATATTACAATTCACATTAATCCACTGCCAATCATGCAGCTTCTGGTATTGTGGCTAAGTAAGAATTGATGTCTTCTTTACAGTCTATACTAATACTATCGCATTAGTGTTGTTATGATAATATAGTATTAAATTCTCAACATGACATTATTGACCCCCTAAGTTAATTAAATTCTAGCCAACTTAATTACTCTTATCGTATTCTTCTACAACATTCTTTATTCCCTAAATATTTTTAAAAGTACACTTACCTTAGGAAAAAGCAAGGCTAGCATGGAAGGTTATATATTTTTAATTTTATTTAATGTTTTACACGGAGGCTCCTCACAAGGCACAGCATTAGAATCGAGGAGCCTCCAAGCATATTAATACAATTTACCTGCAGCGTGGCAAGAAAGGTTGCTATGTATTTTTTAAAAATCATATATTCAGTACAATGTTTATCCTAACTAATATTTTTAATTTAAAACAATTATTGGTACGTGACGGAATTAGAATTGAAAGTTGAAATGACATGAACAGTGCCCACACAGCAGCTAGCAAGACAGCGCAAGGCAATGCCTAGTAGTACAAGCCACATAGTAGCACATATCAATAAAAGTTTTAAAAAAACACTGAAGAAAAAATAGTAACACTTCATTTACTAAACATACCATGTAATTTACTACAGGAAATTATATAAGGAAACTCTAGTACATTGGAAAATTTTATATAATCTTTCTCAGAATTGTCTAAAAATGTTGGAACCATTCCAAAGACAATGATACAAGTGATCTCTAAACTAACTTTGATATTCATTTGGCTTTGAAAAGGTCCTATATTAGGTGACACTGTATAAACATCCACAAAAGTGGCTTGTGTGGTAGAAAAAGATTCTTACCTTTATAGAGATGCCAGCTCTCTCAAGCAAATGTATCCCCTAGCAAAGCTTACTGTGGATACTATGTTTCCCTTATCAATAAGTTAATAACACTGATCCCAATCCTACGATGATTCAGCTCTTAAACCTAAGAAAAGAAAAAAAACCAGAATTGGAAAGAATGGTCAATAAAAGGTAAACAATTGAAGTTGGATTATCTGATCTTACTATTGTTATATACTTATGCAGGATCACACTGATTTGTTCTCTTTCTTCAATTGTTTTAATACCTTTTAAAGAAAAACATAGAACAGACATGCTTAACCAATTATCTATAATTAAGTAAGCACTGCAAAAGATCATTCATGATAATACTATTGCTTGTTTTTAAAGATTTTTCTGAATATTTAAGTGAAGTTTTCTATTAATTTAGAAACACTCCCAATTATTAGAGGACTGAATAGAATATACCACAAGACTTCAAAGTGGCAATTAAAAAAAAAAAAGTTATTTATTATTTTTAACCACTCAAAACAATCACCTATTGTTCAACAGCTTATTGCTGCGAAGCAGCCAATTCATATTCCTGACAGCAATTTGACCTCTGAAAGGTCATTGTTTGTCAAAAAACAAGGGCCTAAGACGACTGAAAAGCGGAGTTTCCTTCTTTCGTTCTGCCGGGTAAAATCAATTACTTTAGGCGACGTTTGTAGACTAACCAGCCTTATCCTACTCTAGGCCTAGACTAGCTAGGATGGTATAGGCCTAGCCTTGAAGGGACGAAGGTCCCAATGAAAAACGTCGCTCCTTGATAGCTAACATTGTCTATTTAACATCACAATAATTCATTATTAGACCTATAGTTGTTTTTTGAATTGCCCTCCACAAATCTCAGCTGATACCTCGCACAACTCGAGTAACGTCTCGTATCCATTGTCGTGACGTCATGGCTTGCTGGCTCACACTTGCGATGTATCACACTTGTGACCAAATAACACACTGGCTCGCATCTTTGGCAACACTCTTTGGCAGTCAACTCGCCCCTAGAAAACCCGCCCTTGGAAACTTGCCCCATAAAAAGATGTACACTTCCTAGACCATGCAGTCTTCAAAATAAAAATTGTAACCTTTGGTAATCAACTACATTTTCCACATACATAGAAATTTTTGAAACTTTATTTAAAAAAACCTAAACCATAATTCACCACTATAGACACTTTTCAGGGCTAGAAATTTACTTTTTTCAGCCACTAGCAACCTATTGATGAAATGTGCTAGTTGTTAAAAATGTAACTAGCAAAATGAGCTGCTCAACTAGTAAAATATATTGATACCAACTCAACATATTATTTTCGGAAAATAAATTGTATGAAAATAACTAATGATGTACTTCTATAAATTTGTGTGTTAAATGTTTTAATATAATATTTTCTGTTATGGTGAGTGTAGTACAATAAATATCACAAAGAAATAGCCAAATGAGTATAAGAAATTGATTTCTATAGCTTGTACATTTATTCACTTCAGAACATTTTTAATATGAAAAAAAAATCACAGATACAAAATAAAAATTTAATATTATATACAGTACTTCATTTATTTTTTAAAATAAGTTAAGTTTATCATTCATTTAATTTTTATTTTGTATCTGTGATTTTGTTTTCATATTAAATATGTACTGCTTATTGGAATTTTTCAAAATAATATAATTATAAACAATAAAATTTATTTTATATTAATTTTATATCATATTATTTTGAAAATTTTAAAAATTATACTTGTTTAGTGTCACCCCCTCAGAAATGTTCAGGGGCGGGAGGGGGGTGGGGAGTTTTTTTTTGTTGCCAGACTAGCCTAGGCCTAGCTAGCCTAGGCAGGCTTAGCTAGGGGCAAGGCGTAGAGATTTCAGAAACTGCATTGTTAGCAAGCCAAATCTTTGACAGAAAAAGGCCATAACAGAAACTCAATTTTACATAAAAGATTTGTTTATACAATATTTATTTTGATAAGCCTTGGTCTTTTAAAGCATGGGCTAGACGTTCCGTAGGCGGCCGCTGGTGCAGTAGTAGGCCTAGGCCTAGCCTAGGTTAGGAGGTCTACTAGGCCTAGCCAGAATAGGGTCTAGTAGGCTAGGCCTAAAACATCTGCCAATTGAAGCCTAGGTTGTAAACTATTATTTTTCTTGGCTTCATAGTAAATTATTATTATCATATCTGAAACATTGTTTATTATCTAAAAAGAACCAAATTAAATATGTTCGCCTTTACTATCGATCGCATCGCCCGTGACTTCCGTCAACAAACGCATGCGACGAAAAAGCGATTTTTTTTTTTTTCTGCACACTGCTTACTTTGCTTGTGCCAAGGTTTCAAAAAAGTAATATTGGTGGCGCACTTCACATCATGTTCCTGGTGCTCAAGATGAAAAAACGATTGTTTTTCGTCGATTATAGGCATTTTTAGTCGATTTTCATAATTAAAAATTAAATAAATAAAATTTGTATTAGTCTTTGTAGATCAGTTTAGTCTAGTTTTAGTTTAATACTAGAGATTACGAGCTATTTTATATAGATATTCCAACTAGCAATCATTTTTTTTTAATTTGCTGGTTTGTGAATTTTTACCTAGCAATTATGACAAACCTACTAGCAAATTTTTAGTTTGCTAGCATGAATTTCGAGCCCTGCTTTTTGACAAAAATGAAAAATTATGACTTTGTTACCCAATGAGAAGTGTTCTAATATAGACAATGGGTCATGTCTCATATTATTTGTTATATTTTTATTATTTATTATTTTCACTTGACTCGTATAAATAATTTTGTTCGAAGAACATTTATACGCAGTTGTACTTCACAGCACTTCACTTGCAAATTGCAATTTCTAGTTACTAATACTAAACAAAAGATTCATCAAAAAGAGGTACATAATACTGACTAGCCAGGTCGCGAAGATTGCTTTCTGTCTGTGGGATTTTAACAAGCAATGAGTGACATGAACAGATACTAATGGAACCAGTCCTATCCATGCTTATCCTATAAATGCTTAGCTAGCCTAAACATTTATATGTTTTGTTGTCTTTGGCAGATCCAGCAGGGTTGTGTTAGCAACTTGGTAATTTGCAAAGACTGCATTTAATCAAGAAAATGCTAACCCGTGCCAATCATAGGTACTGTTTAGTTAATTGATTAACTTTTACTGAACATCCAACTGAGAATCGAGTGACCAATGACAACATGGGTTACAAAAGACTTAGTTAATTGTATTTAATTCTCATCCCACAGCAAGCAACCTGTCATTACTATAGAATCAACATAACCAAGGATGCCTTAAATTTATTCAGATTGAACTTTTTTTGTGTGTTAAACTATTAGTATATGTGGTGGTAGATTGTCAAGGCATCACTAGTGCCTCAACAACCCACCCACAGTAAAGTTTAAGAACATGATTCCTGCACATAACTTAAACTTGTCGTGACATTGCCTTTGTACTCCCCACATCCCCATCACACTCTGCCACACACCTCCGTTCCCACCTTCCCTCATCCTCTCCAAGGAACTTCACTTCGACCATTCTGTGAAAGTTTTTTATGCAGCCGAACCAGTTTTTTTTTATCACTAAAGTACTAATAAGTTTGGGATGTTTCATTCTTTATTCCAGTCAGTAATCAAAAACATTGCGTGGTTTGTCCATAATCATTATTTTCAAAAGAGAACAAAACATACTCTTTTCTGTGATCCCCCTCCCCATTCTTCTCCCTGAAAGTGTAGAAAATAAAATGTTGATTTGTGTCATTTTGAGATCATTTTATCGTTTATGCCTACACTTTCACCCCTCTCCTAAAGCGTATGATTTGTACTCTTTTGAAAATCTTGAACATTATGGATGGCCCCTTAATTAATAAACAACATCCTTCATTAACTTCATAAAAAATTTTTCCTTCAAATTTCAAATGTTATTCAAACAAAATTGTTACAGTATTGCACAAGCTCCTTAGATGTCAACTACCTTAGGTAGGATAAAGGTCGGTCCAATAAATCACAGCCACAAGAAAACACAAACACTCTAGAATAATACACTACTTTCATTTAAATATTAATTGGTTGATTAATAATGTTTTTCTACCAAACTATTTACTTGTTTGTTCTGTGAATAATTAGTTTTTTTCCCTCTCTACTGACGCAATAGCATAAATTATTGATAACAGTTTAAAAAATAAATACAGAACATGCTTTATATATTAAACATTTACAGTATTGATTGAACAGGATATTGAAGGAATCAGAAGAAAAACTAATTTGAATTGAAAGAGGATAAAATATAAACAATATTTACATAGCTTATAGGCCTACTGTATAATAAATTGTCAAGTTGTATAAACAGTAACGTCGTTGTAAAGAATCATTGATGAAAAAACAAGAAATATAGGAATTAATGTGGAATTTGGCTATCTTGTCTAAAAGCACTCAAAATGGGTGGAGGGGTACACATGCTGATGGGAGTTAGATTAACATTGGTCATTAATCTTAATGTATTAACCTCAGTGGAGGTCAGTGTTAATAACCGGAATTAGCCATGCCATAATCTTAATGCGATTTGCAACTGGAAACAACATTAAACTGTCAGAAATATGTGAAGATGACGACATGAATCAGTCAAAAAGATGATAAGAAGACAGAAGGAATAATTCTGTATGATGGATCAATTATTTATAGGTTGAATGACTTTACCAGTGTTATCATATACAATACTACACTTGTATCCTAATTACTAAGCCTGAAGAAAAATGTACTGTGCCTCCAACCATGATAATTATCTTCATAAAAAAAATAATGACTCTGCCAACTAAAATGTCAATTGGAAATTTAAAGTCTTTTTTCCACTTAAAAAGGCTTCAACAAAAATGTGCAGTGTTTTGACCATACATTCCAGAATTTCCCAACTCTGATAATAACCATTCTTTCTTTGAACATTAGGACAAAAACATTCAATCATTAATACAATTCAATTGATGGGTTTAGAGTAGCTCAAGCTGCCAACAATACAGTAATTGGCCAATGATATTACAAACCTTAATTAAGGGCAGGAGCATAACAGTTTTCTAATTAACAGATACTAAAAGCTGAAAAAAAATGGGAGGGACTTCAACT